TACCTCAAGCAGCTCCTCGTCACACCAGAGCAAGAACAGAGAGCTTTTTAGAATAAGATCGTTTGAGTCCGTCTCAGTGGTCACGCTATCTTCTCAGAGCCTGTGACGCCAGTGTCATGCCATGGCCTCTTTCTCAATATGTCACACAATTTTTATCGGTTTCATCGAACCATATTGTTCATGTTGTTTTGCTCACGCGGGTAAATTCTGGCATTGTTTCGGATTTACTGCATATCTGCTTTCTAATGAATGTATTTTCGTTTTTGATAATTCTCTCCGCAGCTTTCTAACGTGGTTGTTAACTGCCTAAATCCTTTCTTCCAAGTTGACTGTAAATCAGGCAGGATCCTGAGTCCTGACCATTTCAAGTATTTGGCAAGGTGTGTGTTTCTCTCGCTGAACCTTTCAGTTCCTAATTTGTTTGTTGAAATCAAGTCAGCGTTAATTGAGCCGGTGGTATTTACCAAGCGAGTTGTATCCTATCTTGCAAGTATGTGGGTGAAGTTCTGGTTTGCAGCGTTCAAATGAAAAATACCGAGAATTGTTGCTCGCATGGTAATGTTTAATGTGCTCAACAACGTGGTTCTATCAGTCGCCGCTTGCAGAGTATTAGGGGGGGACTATAGAAAAGGGGGGAATCATTCACCAATCAGCTGAAAGCGCGGGAAAACGTACGTTGCCAAGACGCGATTGGTGTTTTGCCTTGGATCTGATTGGTCGCGAAGATAGTGCGACCAATCCTAGAGCTTATTTGAAAAATGCAAAGGTAGTCTAGATTTTGTAGCGGTCGGACACTCAGTTGGATTCTGCTCTTAACTTTTAGTTTGATATAGATTAGTTCGAGATAGTCTTAGCTTGTATTTTAAGCTTCCTTAACATTTCAAATCTCGGAGGATAATTGTAAATACAAAGTTTTGTCGTTTCTGTTATTTCATTTATTAGGATATAAAATAATTTATCTTCCTAAATGCATCTTTGTAAAATACTTCATTCGTTTGTTCAGACAGTTTTCCAACGGTTGCTATCTATGTGCTCTTGTGTTGCGTCTGTTTTTGATGTCGGTGCTGTGCGTTTTTCCTTGAAAGAAAGCGCTAACTTTGGAGATAGCTAGAGATAGAAGCGAATCCGACTCTTCGCCCAGTTTGTAAATTATTTCGTGCGACTCTACCTTTACTTTTTAAAGTTCTGCTGTCACTGTGTTTGTCTGTCACC